GTGATGTCAGCCAAAACTTCCTAACCATTACTGCCTGTCTCAGAGTAGAATTGGTTGCTTCAGGAGCAGGAGTGGAATTCTCAATGGGTAACTTGCCAGGCTTCTTTCCCAGTGCAGGTTGAACTAGACAGACAGTCACCGTTGTACTATCCAACTCTAAAATTCTATGATTCTGAGAAATAGTCAGTGTTTTGATGTGGAACTTTTCTTCGTCTTGATGAGAGCAAGAAGACAGGTATAAATTGAATGTAAGGAAATTAGGATAGGCAGAAGAATTCTTGGCAGCCTAGATTTCTCTGGATTGGAATAGATGAGGGGGGAAATTGAGGCATCCCTCTGGAGATCTTTAACGTCAAAGTAGATACTCTTAGGGTATTCATTTAGCAGTGGCCCTAAAGTTCACAGATAGAAAGATAACATACATATATACATACATTTGTTTTTGTTGTTCCTCTTTGGTCATTTCAGTCATATCTGACTCTCCATGACTCCACTGGGGGTTTCTTGGCAGAGATACTGGAGTAGTTTGCCTTTTCCTTCTCCAGCTCATTTGACAGATGAGGAAACTGAAGCAAATAGGGTTAAGTGACTTGCCCAGGGTCCCACAGCTAGTAAGTATCAGAGATCAAATTTGAACTCAGGTAGTCCTGACTCCAGGGCTGGCTCTCTGTCCACTGCACCACTTAGCTGCCCCCATATACATATATACACTGTATTTGTAGATAGATAGATAGATGGATTGATGGATGGATAGACGGACGGACAGACAGACAGATCTATAGATAGAGGATATAATTATGGTTGTAAAGGAAGAAATCCTTATATGAGTAAAATATGCATATCATGAATAGTTTAGCAAAGAATAGAGGATTTCTCAAAATCTCATTTAGCCTTAAGAATCTGTGGTCAATGGGTGCAGAGAAGCTACTAAGCTATGAACCTTGGGATGGAAGAGTGTCAGTTCAATAATTCAACTCAAATGCATGGAAGCAAATGCTCTTACAATGTCAAAACCAAGAAGAGTTTGTAGCCAATGGAGCAGCTTTTTTTTTTTTAGTTTTTAGCTCAGAGAATTAAAATTCCTCCATTCCAACCACATTTAGCATGCTGTTTTTGGAAGCAGCTAGGGAATTGCAATCCCCTCTGTACCATGCACACAGAGAACTATATTATTGACAGTGGGAAGGCTATTTAAGTCATCTGAGGATTAAATATAAAATATGGCTTGCCTCACCCCTATTCTGCAAATTGTATTCATTTTCCCTGCAGGAGTTAATTGCTCAGTAAGAAAAGTTAGTATCATTGTTTGTTGATTCCAACTTACCTCTGATAATAATAATTTTATTACTTTTTTCAAAATTTTTTGAACCAACAAAACAACATGGATTCCTTATACAAAGAACAGAAAATGAATGCATCTGAAGCTCCACTATGTACAATTTCTTTCTTTTCCTTGAATACTTCAGTGAAGTAGTTCCAACACTGCCTCGTTGGTTGATGTCTCCTTTTGAATTTCCTTCTGCTCTCATATGCTGATTTTAAAAATTATTCACCTAATCTTTTTATTTTCTTCCTTTTTTTCTAGAATCACTATCTTGACCCACTCAACAACCCTCTCCCCTCTCCCAAATTAAACATCACCATTAAGTATTGTCACACAAAAACCGATCCACATATTGGCTATAAAAGGAAATGTGTCTCATTCCGCACCTCTAGTTCATCAGTTCTCTTCAGATTTTGGGGAAGGAAGTGTGCTTTATCATCAGCCTTCTGAAATCATCATTGGACATTGCATTGATTATATAGATCTTAACCTTTTCATCATTGTTATAGTCATTGTGTTAATTATTCACTTGGTTCTATTCACTTTGCTCTGCATCGGTTTCATATAAGCCCTCCCAGGTTTCTCTAAATTCATTACTTTTGTCATTTTTTGTGTTGAAATATTATTTGATTATATTCATTTAAATGATTAAGAATTTCATTTCCAGTTTTCACTGCAACACCACTAAGAAGTGCTGCTATAATTATTTTTGTACATTAAAATCCTTTCTATCTTGTATCTCTTTGGGATCGTAAATCTAGTAGAAGCTTTTTGAGTATAGTTCAAAATTGCATTCAAGAGTGGTTGGATCTCTTCATGACCATATCAGTGTGCTTGATATGTCAGAGATCCTAGAACTATTGTATTTTCCTTTTTGGGGGTCATCTTTGCCAATTTGATAAGTGTGGAGTAGAAGCTCACAACTGTTAGTAATTTGGAGCATTTCTTCCTATCTTTTTACTATTTACATATTGGGAAATAGCTGTTGTTCTTATATACTTGCATTCATTCCCTACATAGTTTGTATATCAGACATTAGAAAAATTTACTAAAAGGACATTTCCCCCAGTTCATAGTTTCATTTTAAATTCTAATATTGATTTTATTAATGGGGGGAAAAACTTTTTGATCTTATGTGCTCAAAATTGTTCACTCTGTCTCCTGTGATTCTCTTTTTCGCTCATTTGGCAGCAACGTTTTCTTATACCCGCAGTTATTAAGGGTATCTCCTTTCCTGTGTCTCTAATTTATCAATGTTTTATGCTGAGATCATTCATGCATTTAAAGCTTATTGTGTTACTAGTTTTGAACCTGGTTTCTGCCAGACTACTTTTCAGCTTTCCTAGCAAACTTTGCCAAATAGTGAGTCCCAAGTAGTTGGAATCCTTTGGTTTATGAAATTCTATGTTACCAACCTTGACTGCTTCTTAATTTTTTATATCAGATTTTTTTTGCTACAAAATCAAATCAGCTTTTTTGTTTTTTAACTAGTACAAAATAGTTTTGATGATTACTGCTTTACAGTGTAGTTAGAGATCCAGTACTCATTACCCCTTTTATTCCCACTTCTTTTTTTATTATTTTCCTTGAGATGATTGACCTTTTGTTCTTCCAGATGAATTTTGTCTCCCTGTTGAGTTTAGTGTATTTCTATAAAATGCTCTTTAATAAGTTCTCCCCACTTCTTCATTTCTATCCTATTGTATTTCTTCTTCCTTCCCTTTTCTTTCCTCTCTTAAAACTAACAAAGCAGAACCAAACCACACCTAGGCCCTATGTTTATCTCTGTTTATTCCCTTTTATGACTTTTGAATACATTAGGACTTTGAAAGGACATTTGTCTCTTCTCTCCCTATTAGAATCATTTAGCCCCTTCTTTTTGGTCAAATATATTTACTTTTCTAGGTTTCTGTTGACACCTGATGTTTGCATTTCAACATTGGCATTCATTGTTTGTCTTTTTTTAAGAGCCAAGCTTGAAAGTCCTTTATTCTATTAAAGATCAATTCTCTCCCTCCCTCAGAATTTTAATCAGTTTTGTAAGTCATTATCCTTCATTACAAACCTTGAACTTTTACCTTTTTTAATACCATGTTTCAAGATTTTCTTTCCTTTACAATAGTTATGGCATAGGCTTATGTGATGCTGACTGTGGTTTCTTGACACTTGAATTCTTTCTGGATGCTTACAATATTTCACTTTGACCTGGGAACTCTGGAGGCTAAAGTTTCTTTTAAGAAGTGACATGTAAATTATTATTTTCACTTTGCCCTCTGTTCTAACGGATTTTGGCAGTTTTCTTTTGTAAAAATACATGACCTCCATCTCCCATCTTTCTACTTTGCACTGGTTGTCTCCCATGCCTAGAATGCTTCCTCTGTTCACCTCTGCCTCTGTGGATCTCTGACATCCTTCAAGACTCAGTTCAAATGCCACTTTCTCTGCTGTTGTTGCTCCAAAGTTTCAATTGTGTCCTACTCTTTGTGACCCCATTTGGAGTTTTCTTGGCAAAGATACTTGAGTGGTTTGCCATTTCCTTCTCCAACTCATTTTATAGATGAAGAAACTGAGGTAAATAGAGTTAAATGACTTGCCCAGGGTCACACAGCTAGTAAATGTCTGAGGCTACATTTAAACTCAGGTCTTCCTAATTCTCCACCTGGTATTCTATCCATTTTGCCACCTAGCAGCCACCTTCTCTAAGAGGCCTCTACTGGCCTCCTGGCTGCTAGAGTCTTCCCCTCCAAGGTTAGCTTTCACCTTTTCTGTATGTATCTTATATGTGCCTATTTATTTATATGTTGTCTTCCTCATTAGAATGTAAGCTTTTTGAAGGCAGAAAATTTTTTTTGGCCTTTCTTTGTATTTTAACATAGTGCCTGGTAAAAGCTAAATAAATTCTTGTTATGATTAGTTGATGATTGCTTGAAATACGGTATCTATTTTTTTTAATTAACCATGGCTTTGAGGGACTCCAGTGATGCTTCTTCAATCCACCAGCAAGCATTTATTGATCACCTCCTATATGCCAGGCATGATGCTTGGCGCTGGGAATAAAAATTTGGTTAATGAAAAAAAAACTGTTTGCAAGAAGCTTACATTTATATAGAGGAGCCAACATAGATACATGTCTGTATACACAAAATAAATACAAAGAGAATAAATACCAATAAAACTCTAGCTCCCAGTGCTTAGAGAGTATGCAGCCTGTCCCTGTTTCCCTGCACAGTGACCTATGGTGGGTGGTTCTGACTAGCCTCGAATGGCATCTGGCTTCAGGTCCCCAGTTGCTAGCACTCACACTCCTTATTCTGGTTTGTGACTCCACATGGAGACCATTGGCTGACATCTGGACTGTTCATGGGAGCTCACTCTGGTTTCCCTGGCTTGGCTTCTCTCCCCATCTCTTTTGGCTTCTCCCTTATGCTCAGGTTGCTCTGGTTTCCTTGGCACAGCTCCCTTCCCCTATAGTTGTTTTCATGGGGGAGGAATTTCCTTCTCTTTCTTTTCCATTCCCTTTATCATTGTTCTTCAGCAGACTTTGCCATAGATTTGCTGGGTTTTACACAGGAGAGCTGTCACTTTTCATATCACCATCATAACCAAAAGTAAGTTATCATATTTTGAACATATGTGGAACAAACCTTATGCCTATTCATTTATTCTGATTTAATAGAAAGAACATGGACTTTGATGCCTAAGACCAGAGTTACCAAGGTAAACGGAATTTATGTGACCTTTGACTTATCACTTAACCTTTCTAAGATCCCTTTTCCTTATCTACAAAATGGTGATCATGGTTCTTGTAGGACCTACCTCTATTCTATAATAGAATAGGTTGTTGTGAGGAATGTACTTGAACTGTGAAGCATTATACAAACATAAACTGTGGATGTCAGAGATTTCCCTTTTAAAGGCCATCAGAGGTCAACCCAAGCACAGAAAACCGTCTCTACCCATCCCCTACATGGCAAAGCCATGATGAAATCAAAGTCCAGAAGGACATAGGAGCCCCATCTACTTTTCCAAAGTCATCACTGCACAGTGGACTACCCAGTCACTTCGAAGAAGAGATTAGTGTAGGTTAGTTGTATATTAATATCAGTGTCCTATCTAACTACCTTGCCCTGCCCTAAGGTATAACTTGGCATACTAGCTTCTGGCATTTAATAAACACTGCCTTATGAATCCTCTGTCACTGATAAAATGTCATATGAGTGAAGAGAAGTCCCTGTTGACTAATAATATAAATTCCATGCAAATGACAAAATTTAATGCTGTACCTATTATATTATCAAAGGGGATACTTTATAGAACTTGATAAAATAATAAGAAAATGTATTTGGAAAAATAAAAGGCCTAGACTATCAAGGAAAATGGGGAAAAGCTCAAGCTGTATTATAAAGCGGCAGTCATCAAAACCATCTGATATTGGCTGAAAAAATAGAGCAATAGATCGAAAGAACAGACTGAAAATGGAGAATCAGAAACAATGAAACTCAATAACACAGTGTCCAATAAATTGGAAAACATGAATTACTTAGTAAAGAACTCCTTATCTGGCTAAAAAAAACTACAGGGAAGATGGGAAAGTAGTTTGTCAGAAATTAGGCTTAAACCATATATTCTAAATATATTCTAAATTTGACTTAAAAATATATTCTCCACAATATATTCTAATATTGATATGACCTTAACATTAAAGATTACACTATTTTTTAAAGAACCAGAAACAGATCTTATATCTGTCACAGTTATGAGTGATATTTTCTTAACCTAAGGAAGAATAGAAAGATAAACTTGGTAACTTAGATTACATGAAACTGAAAGATTTCTGCACAGACAAAATTAGATAAGAAAGTAGTCAAATTAGATAAGAAAGAAAGTACTCAAATGGGGGAAACAAGTCCTCATATCAAATTTCTCAAAAGATAAAACTTTAAAATTTCAGCCTTTATGATTCATGCTTTTGAATCAAATAATAAATAAAAAATGAATAAATAAACAAACAAATAAATAAATAAATGGAGCCTTGTGAGTCATAGCATTTGAGCCATTGACATCAAAGTATGAATTAGTTTATCATATCCTTTTCTGCTTTTTTTTTAAAGGAGTAATGGTATCATGTGACCACTGCATACCTGAGAAAGCAAAGAAAAAAGGAAGAAATAAGGAGGCTGAACTTTGCTTACATGATAGCTTTGAATTGGGCTGGCTATGGTTTTCACCCTGCCATGTCCTTTGAGAACTCATCATTGAACAGAGTTAGATAGATAGTTATGTTTTTTTTTTATTTTTTCTTAGCTTAAATCCATCCCAAAGCAAATATTCCTGTTGTCCCCATTTTAATTATTATATCTCCTTCTAGAGAAATAAGACATTTTAATAAATGGATTTTATCTTGAGGTATATAGAAACAATCACCATTTTCTTCCCCCACCCCCTCCACCCAGACTATACAACCTTGTTCTTTATTTTATGATACATTCACCTTAGGGTAAGCCAATTAACAGAGATATCAATTTGTGAATGTATAGAGGGTATCTATGCATTTTGGCAAAGTCCTGGAGTGTTTCTAGATTTATTCTAATTTGGTTTTCTCTATAAAGAATTCCAGAAACCTAGGTTCAGGATGCCGATGAATGTCTGACTAGCATTCAAAACCACAGTGATGGAGCACTGAGGACTGCGTGGAGGAAAAGCTAAAGACTAGAAACAAAATTGCAAACAGGTATCTGTTTAAGGATGAAAACAAAGGACAGCAATGTTCAAATAACATATAATGTACAGGAAAGGGATGTACAGAGTCCTCAAGTTGCAATTGTTATCTTGGAAGTATTGGTGTGAAGTAAAAAAAAAAAGTATTAATTCCAGTAGTGCATTGGATAGAACACTGGAAGACCTAAGTTCAGATCCCGATTCAGAAACTTATCATTTCTCATCTGTAAAATGGAGTTAAAAATAGCACCTATTCCTAGGGTTGTTGTGAGAATCAAGTGAAATAATATTTATGAAGTGCTTTGTAAAACCTTAAGGCCTAATACAAATATTAGTTGTTTTTGACAGTTTTTATGTGTAATATCTGCTCAAACTTCATAACTTCCAGATTTTCAGCCTTGCCCTTTTGTGTAACCAAATACTCTTAATTGATATGATTATGATGGAAGTTTACATGTTCATAGAGAAAACAGTAGAGAGAGAGAGCGTTTTTAAGTCAAGAAGACCCGAATTCAAATCCTGCTTCTGGCACTTGCTCACTTATCTTTGTGACCATGGACAAGTCACTTGACCCCTTGGTTCCCCCCTAGACAACTCTCCAAGACTACAAATTTTAGATGAGTTATTGACATGTATCGGTAAAAAGAAGTTTTCACCCAGAATTTCCCTATACTAACGAAATAACAGCCCAACAATAGGAAAAACAAAACAAAACAAAGCAACCAGCACTATCTTTTGTCGTGGAAGATACTGACCAAGCTTAGGTCCTCCTAAGTAGCTGGACCACTGTGTTCTCAGTAAGCATCATTTCTAGTACTCTAGCATTCGGTGCTCTTTGTTTGTTTGTTTGTTTGTTTGTTGGGTTTTTTTTAGGCAATTAGGGTTAAGTGACTTGCCCAGGGCCACACAGCTAGTAAGTATCAAGTGTTTGGTCTGAGGTCAGATATGACCTCAGGTCCTCCTCACTTCAGGGCCAGTACTCTATTCACTGCACCACCTAGCTGCCCCTGGTGCTCTTTGTATCTATGTATCTCTATCTATGTTTGAGGATATCAAAATTTTTTGCAACAGTTGAGTTTCTACACTTCATCAAGTAGATAGCTATGGGTTTTAACCTCAGGAAATTTATACATAGGTTAAGTTAAATTGTCCAAGGTGGATAGATTTTTCTCAATCACTGATGGATCTTAAAATTGCTACTGCCCTCATGCTCTGCTCCCCTCCCCACCCCACTTCTTGGGAGTGACTCCTATGGGTCAATTGCATGACAGTTCCCTGGTTTAAGTTACCATATAAAGCTCTAGTGGCCTTCATGGGGTTAGGAGAAAGTTATTAATGGAATGTGGATTCTTCTTCAGTCCTGGGATTGATATTTCCCAAATAGCTAAATCCAAGATGGCCAGTGATTGAAAAGTTATTTTCTGGCGACTTAGACCTAATGGAGAAAGAAAGACTTAGCACTTATCTTAAGAGGACATGTCTCTGATGCTGATCCTATTTAATTTTCTCCCTTTAGTCTCAGAAGCCTGGAGACTCAGCCTTTCCCTCAAGGAAATTGTCTAGAGACCATAGAATCATAACATCTTACAGTTGGGAGGGGAATCAATGAGCATCTCATCAGTCTTTTCCAATCTTGAGACCAAAGACACTAAGTAGCCTGCCCATAATCACATAAGTAGCCAAGTGGCAAAGATACAAGATCCCTGGTCTCCTGATTCCCAGGCCAATGCTTTTCCCACTATATGTAGATATCTCTACATTGACAAACTCTTCTTTCTCTCCCCACTCCCAAATAAAAAGGAATATTGCTTTCCTTTCCAGATTTCGTTAAAAATACGATTTAGATGGAAGGCATTTCTTGGTTCCCTTGCATACTGCCAAGGCCCATCATGTCTCATCTATCTGTGTGTTCCTGTGACTGTCAAAGACCTCCAGCAACAAATACGTGCTGAAGACCCATATAATAACAGTATCCTCTGCTCCCAAGTAAAGATCAGATAGCTTCTGCACTTGGATAGTGGATGGTCTGGCCACCTCATCTGTTTACTCAGCTGAGAACTAATCTGTACTCATGTCTACTCATTAAATGTGTACTGGGTGTGAACTGTTAAGCTTCTGAATATCTTATCTCCCTAATGTTGGTATCTGGCAATGTGCATCTGTTTATTTGCTTGTTTATTTATTGTACCTTCTTTCCCAGAATATTAATTAATGCACCATGACAAGAAGGAGCAACCTAGGGACATTTCCCTTCAGGTACTAGGGAAATTGACGCAGGAAAGAAAGTACAAGGAGTGGATTCCAGGTAGAGATATTGAAACAGTGACAGAACCCCCAAAGGGGGTGTGTGTGTGAAAATGTGTACCTTTCCTGTGCTAGTGCCAGAGAGATCAGTGCAGAAGGGAAATATCTGTGCCAAAGAACCACCCGTATTTAACCCTAGTACTGTGAGTACCAGATGTGTCCAGGTGAACTCCCTAACAACCCCAAGCCACACTGTGAGGCATTAAACGTTTGAAGGACTGTACGAGTCCTTGGGATAAGGGGAGAGGGAATATTGCTAATGATCTCCTCTGATACTCCCTCTGTTCTGGGTGGTTGTAAGACTGTGTTCTTTGGTTTCTCCTCCTATCTCTCTGACCTCTCCTTCATCCACTTGATATGTGTATCCCCCAAGGTTATGTTCTGAGATGTTTTCTTGACCCTTTCATTTGATTAGCTCATGATCTCCCATGGGTTCTACGAAGATGTTTCCTAGCTCTGTCTGTGTATCTGTTTCTCTGGCTTTTTCAGCCTAAGACCCACCTACTCCAGAAGGCCCTTCCTGCTCCCAGAGCAGGTATTAGTGCCTTCTGTCTCTCAGACGACTTTCCACAAACTTTATGCGTACTCATTTATTTACATGTTACCTCTCCCGTTAGAATATAAGTTCCCTGAGGGCCTGGATTATTTTTATCTTAATTCTGCAACATGTAGCACACTTCCTGCCACTTTGTTGTTCAGCCATTTCAGTTCATGTCTGACCCTTTATGATGGCATTTGGAGTTTTCTTGACAAAAATACTAGTGTGGTTTGCCATTTCCATCTCATTTTACAGATGAGGAAACTGAGACAATCAGGGTTAAGTGACTTGCCCAGGGTCACACAGCTAGTAAGTGTCTGAGGTCAGATTTGAACTCAGGAAGATAAGACTTCCTGACTTCAGGACAAGTGCTCTATCCATTGCACTGTGCCTTCCAGGTACTTAATAAGTGTTTTTTAAATGCTTATTGGTTGATGGAGCTCCAGTGCAACCTCATTTGGTGTTTTTGTTTTAGGTTAAATAAAACTTGATCTGTATTCAATATCTTGTTAGCCTGAAAGCTTATAGGGAAACTGAAGGCCTTTTGGGGGACAGTAAAATAATTCAGGCAGCCACATGTCTAGGGTTTCTTCAGGTATGGGAGAAAATCTCCAGAAAGATTTTCTAAGACACCACTCTGAAAAAAAAATGTACCCGGATCTATTGTCTCAGGAGCCACTTCTGCTCCCCATTTCAGACTGTGAGCTGTGTTCATACTGATTGGCCAGGTGTGAAGCATCAGGAAGGTGTGCCAGGAGGTTGGGAGATTTGAACTTGGTGAACAGAAGAGGGGTAGGGTCAGAAGGGTGTGACTGAAACTGGATGTAGACCACAAGGTTTGTCCTTGAAACCTCCTGGGCAAAGTCCCCTCCCTCAGTGCCTGAGTAATTTCAAAGCAATGCCCTTAGGCCTAAGACTGCCTCAGATTTTGAACTCTAAAGAGGTTTTGCCTTGTTTTTGCCATAATCCCTGAGACTACTTTAAACCGAGATATTCTAGTACACTTATGGCTTTATTTTCTCACTATATTAGCTTATTGAGTCAATATCATTCTAATTTGATGAGAATCCTGAGGACTTCGGAGAATATTCACTCCCTTGTCTTGTCCTGGTGTTTTTCTACATGTTTCTATTATGCCTCATGTCTGGGGGATGACACAGTTGGAGGAGGCAGATAAGATGTTAGAGCAAAAATATGCTTAAATCTTTACCTTTAGGGGTATGGCTCTTAGGAATAACCACAGTGGCATCGAAATTGTCCTTCTGTCTACTCTGTTGAGCACACATTTGTATATACTTTGGTAATCCCATCCAATGAACCCTTGTTTATCAACGTGGGTGCTTCTTTGACATGTACAGAGCAAAATCTCTCTCCCTCCCCCTTCCGCCCTTCCCTCTCTTCCCCTGCCTCCAGCCCCATTTGCTCCATGTGTTTAATCTTTTGCTCAGTTATGACATTCTGACCCCATGCCCTATCCATGAACACTGATACCAGCTCCCAGGTAAATTTTGCTGCATCAGTGCTGAAGTGAGACGTAAGGGCATTAAAATAGCCTAACTGTTTGGCCACAAAGCAAGATATAACCTGCTCAACTCCTAGGGCTTTATTGACTACTGGGGAAATGAACGGTCTTATTGGATGCCTCTTGTGTTGAAGTACCAACATCCTAGATCGTCAACTTAAGAAAATGTCTCTAAAGCCCTTCATAAAGATTATTTGAGGTTTTGTGGAGCCAGGGTTTAAGGCAGGTTCACATAGGTGTCTTGGTACAGCAGCCACTGTACCATGTTCTTCCAGATTCTTCTAGGAATCATTCTAGTCTATCAACCAAACAAAAAGCGTAATTAATGCTGTGCTTCTGTGTGCCTACTGTGTGCCAAGCACTGTCTTTGGTGCTGGAAATACAAAGACAAAAATGAAATGGACCCTTTGTTGAAGAGTTTATATTCACAGGATCATAGATACAGGGTTGTAAAGGACGCCGGAGGGCATATAGTCCAGTCTCCTCATTTTAAGGATGGGATTTGCCCTGGGTCATACAGCTAGTAACAGATTCAGAAATTGAACCCAGGTCTTTCTGGCTCTATGTTCTGTACTTTATCTACCACAACACTAATTTTTTCAAGGAAAACAATTAGAAAGGCAATATGGTGGCACAAAGGATAAAAGTCTTGAGCCTGCAGTCAAGAATACTTATTATCTTCATGAGTTCAAATCTGACCTCAGACACTTACTAGCTGTGTGGTC